GTGGGTTACAAAATACATGTAATCTTGTAATTTTTCCCATAAATTTTAAATTTAATCAAAAGATTATAAGAGAATTCCTAACTATCGCAATGACTGTGTTACTCCACTTGTTTGTACACTAAGCACGTACCAAGAGTATTAACTCAGGTTATAATCATGCCAAACTAATAGAGTAATTTGCCTTAGATAAGTCGTGTTATTAGGTGCACTGAGTGCCATTCCATATCTGTAATTTTTCATCTATCACTTTTCATCTTAGGCATGATAGTTCAATTAATAGCCTTATCATGATCTTGATTACTGTGTTGTCTCCTCTCTCCATCCACAGTATTTACTGAGTATCTGCTGCAACTTTCACTTTTAGTACCTCTTGCAAGTACTTTGTACATTCCCATTTGTGTAGCTTTTCAATTTACCCTAAGTATTTTCTTTTCACAGAGCATCTATTTCAATTAATGTTATCTCCAGTTCTTAACTTTCTTGTATTTATTTTGCCAACAAACTCCTGATTCTCAAATCTCAGCTGGAACTTCAGTAATATTTGAGCAATTTAACCATTAATGTTGAAGGATTTATTTTAAATGTGTGTGTCTGTGCTTAAGCTCATGTTTTGGAAAACATAAGAATTCCGCCAAAATTACATTTTTCTTATACAGTATGAAATATTTTGATCATCTGTGCTAACGAAAAGCCTTAACACAAAAACGGAAACACTGGAAGTGTTCAAAAGTCAACATGGGACCTTTTCCCCACCTCCCTCCTTGTCTCCACTTGTAATGACAATATGCCTTCCTATAGTTCCCTTTTTCTAGTCAGTAAATTTTATCTTTTTCCTTGGTTTTTTTCTTACTCTTTCTCCATACAGTCATGAATGAATTTTGCCATTTCGTGGCAGACACCAGTTCTTTCTGTTCTAACTATACATCAGCCTGGGTTGAGGAGAAAGGTATTCAGACTTATGCCATTGTGAAGTTTTCTGGATTACTGCGAGTTGTTTGAGATTTCCACTCTGCTGTGCCTCATTCCTTATTGCAATATGCATATTTTTTTTCAACAAGAAGGCAGAATAGATATATTAATTTTTATTAAAAATGTATATGCAATTAGACAAGGGGATATCAATACAAATTAAAATGTAGGCATTTAGGTATGCCCACTGTGGTGTTTAAAAGTATACCATGGCCTGTACTGAAGAACAGTTTCTCTTCTAGGTGACTGTTACCTAAACTTAATACCTTTGAGAAATGTCATTTGGGTTCTTAGTAGTAGTTTGTTCATGCTTAGAATTACCTCTAAGAAATCAATGACAAACCAAACATAGAATCAAAGATGCCAGACACATTGCTAAAAAATTTGTAAGTTGAACTGTTTGCACCTTTCTTTGTTCAGCTGCATGGCTTTGCGTGGCATGGCTCTTTTGGTTTCCACACTTTCCCTCCCTGCCCCCCACCCTCCCACCCCTGACCTCTTCTTCACCTTGAATAAAGTGAAACTGAATTTTATTTGACTGGAATGTGATTATTATTTGTTTTCTTTATATACTGCTTTAATTAACAGGTAATACCATTACTTAGAATTTCTTAGGCAGAAATCAACAAATGAAGTTAAATCCTGTCTCTGAGAATACAAGGACAAGCTTCTGTTGCAGCCATCTCAGTGAAAGCAGAATACAGACTTTAGTCTTGTCCTTGTAATAAACCAAAGGTAAAGTTTTTAATAACTAGATTTACATGTTTAAGCTTCCTTTAAAGTATTTTTTTCTGTTGCCACATTGAAAAAACATAGATGATGTTGCCAGATAACCAGATTCTTAAGAAATCCTCTTTTTTTCACCAAAAAAAATTCCGTACACATGCCACTAGCTATTTATTATCTTTAGCACTTCCCAAAATACACTTACATACCAAACAACTCGCTGAGGTCTTTTGTTCCTTCTGAGTTATTTTTAGCCATCTATCTGCAAATAACAAATACCACACACTAGTCAATAAAAGATTAATTTTACTATGTAATGGTATTTAAAATTGAATACTTACAGCATATTCTTGAATTTGAACTACCAACCCTAAGTTTCCTAGTTATTCTGCTGATGTAAAACAGTTTCAATAAATACATCGCATACCTTAATAGGATTGCTAAGTCTTGTGGCTTGTTCGTAAATAGCTCCGTATCCCTATGACATTTAAATAGATTTTTATATATTTGATTTGTATATATTTCCTGATATTGTATTAGCTTCATGAATGAGAATATTCCACAAAACTATTGAGACAATTCCCCCCCCCTTCTTGAGCCTTTCACATTGGAATTCCAGAAAAGAACTACCTGGAGACTACATTGCTTGGAATCACATAAGTATTGTACAAGGCAAGAATGCCCAGTGTTTCTTCAGCAAACTATACAATTCCACAGTACCTTTTTCCAGCATTAATCTCTCCCAGTTGATCCCTCTCTGTCTGCAGTGACTGAAACTGAAGACGCAACCAATACCAATGAAACATTTACCTCCCAGGAACTAAGGATATAGGTGGCTAAAGTTCCTAACAGTTAAATTACTGAGGGTGGTTCTTTTTTCCTATGTTGATCAATTTATCTGTAATTTCTGCCAAGGAAGTTGGTGTCCCTGTTTTTTTATCTTTGTGGGTTTTTATTCCTTGTTGCATCAAGCAGATCAAGAACTATGTGCAGTTTGTAACTGCCCTTGTGAATGTTTTTAAATGTTGGTTGTGAAGTGTGAAAGAAAAGCATTCTTGTACTGATGGGTCCTGTAAAATGGTAACTGTCTCACAATCTGCAAAGCTTGTACTCCAGCAAAGCCAGGCTTCCATATTCACGATGCCAATGTGCTCTTCACAGAGACGGCAAATCGTGACTCAAGATATGAAACAGCTAAGAGTTTAAACAGACGTTTTTCCAGAACTTCTTCCCAGGGGGCTCAAAACTGGATCAAGTAGTCCAAGCATTTGGGCATTTTATATGCTTTCCTCCATCAAATCTGCTGCCCTAGAAAAAGTATTTTTGTCGTCGTCTTTTTCATGTGACTGAAGCTCTAAGTACGTACTGTAAAACTCCAATATCTACAGATGTTATGACAACAAATGCTATTGAACTATCTTTTGAGCAACAGTGGTTAGGACAGGGGGTCTGAGTACTTGACATGATAGTGCTTGGAGGGTAGAGATGATATGCCAGGGACAGAGATGACACATGTAGACATGCTGTTTTATTCTGTGCTTTCTGTCACTCCTCCTTGGCTGCTTCTTGTTCAGCAAGTGGCACTGTGCCCTGTACCTCACCCCAGGGTGTACTGCGCTGTTCCCTCAGTGTTGATTACTGCCATTCATTAGTATGGGCACAACATACAGGTCAGTGTCCTTCCCTCACGGAAAAACGTTAAAGCAGTGTTAAGAACGGGCTTCTACTGCTTGTTCCAACACTAAAGAAAGAACAAATGCATCAAATGTTACGAGCTGTTTTCTCCTTAGCAACCAAAACCAGCCCCAGACAGACTTTACTTTTTCTGTACTGCTGGACAAAACGGAACTGTGCTGTTTAATATGTGAAACAGTAAACATTTTTTTATGGGCAGTGAAATGTCAGGGTGTGCTTTTTCACAGGACTGAACTGTGACAACTAGCAACCTGTTTGAAAACACAGAAGCACTCCTCGAGCTGAAAAATCAATACAACTTGAATTTTTTTCTGTGCTGCATTAAAATTGCAATTTTATGCCAGTAGTAAAAACCATCGCTATAGTATTTCTCCTTAGAAAAAAGGAATTTTCATGTATTTAAATAATACAGGAGAACCTCAGCATATCTTTTGGGCTGAGTTACTGCTAATAACAGACTATTCTACTAATACACTCTCCTTACTAGTGTTGCTGGGTTAGCTGATCAAGTGCCCGTGATCACCATGGATTTTGCATGGATAAAAAAGGTTTTCAAGATTGCCCTGATGTCTTTATTTTTTTTGTCTGAGAATTTTTGACCCAGTGAAGGAGAATTAACTGAGCTATTAGTGCTCTCATCTTTAGTGGAGAGGCTTGTAGTTGGGCAGGGAGCGGAGGAGATGGGAAAATGGCTGGAAATCTTCTAGAGGAGAGGATTTACTGCTGTCTAATCCATGCAAAATTACCTGTGAAGCTCAACAACAGGAAAATACGAAGTGCAAAAAGCAAATTATGGTAGTGACTTGGAGGAATTTAAGGCCTAGTTTATTGTAAGCATCTGTGGATGATCTCTGAGCTCCAGTGGTAGTGAATGCTGAGAATGTTTTCTAAATGCCTTGCTGTTTGGGAAATGCATTTCCCCTTCAGAAAAGAGTAAATTCCATGGACTGCCTGCAAGATCTTAATCTGTCATTCTTTAACTGTGAAAGGTAGTTTATTATTGTAAGGCACTTGAACAAAAAGGCAGTGATATGCGAGGGTCACCACTAACTAATCTTTTGTAATGATTCCTAGAACATTAACAGGTTTGGCCTATCAAGGCTACTGAGAGATGCTTCTAAAAGTATAATAGGTTTACCCTAAGTCTTTCAACCACATTGCTCAGAACAAGAATATAAAACTGTCTAGCACACTAAAATAACACTAACGTGTCATTTTTAAGGCATTGCTGTTTGAAATTTTATAAGCTATGATTGTAAATGCTAAATAAAAATAAATAATAAAAAAAGAAAAATCTTAAGAAAATACCAGCTGGACAGCAATGTAGTTATGTACATTCTTCTAAATATACTTAATTCCCCCAGCAGTCAAAAAATAACTCGCAGACAAAACTAACATGGGAAATATGAACACAATATTTAAAATGTATAGCTTGAAAAGTAAACTTTTAAACTCATTCTTTAAAGTTCTCTCAATCCATACTTCTTCAGTAAATATAAATCCCTCTCCCATTTCTGTAAATGATATTTAAAAAGACACTGTTTTTTTTAACCAACACAGGTTGTGCTATGAGTAAGCCACACTCTGTGGCTGCAGCCATGTTTTCTTCTTTAAACCAGATTGAACTCCCTCAGGTTTAGTTGCAGGATCGTGTCCTTGACAGCAGCGAAGACAAAACGAATATTTTCTGTGTCTGTGGCACAAGTGAAGTGGGAATAGATTACTTTCTCCTTGTCTGGATTCTGATCCTGATACAGCTTCAAAATGAAGTCTCTGGCAGCTTTGACATCTTGTTTAGGTCCTAGTCAAAAGCACAGTTAGTGGTTTTGAACAGTTAAAAGCTATGGGTCAAGGAAGAAACATAGTGATATGGACAGTATCTTAACAGGCTAATTTTATATTTAAATGTCAAATCACCATAAAGGCATACTCCTTTGTTGGTATTTTCTCATTCATATATTAGTGGAGCAAAAGCTGTTGCAACACTGCTTTCTAAAATGTGTGGAGTATGCTTTTTTCAACCATAAACATTACAGGTCGAAGTAATTTTTTATAAAAACCTATGCAACTGAAATTACCCAGCATATATTAATAGGTTGCTACATTACTGTAGTATGTCAAAGACCATGAGAGAAATTAAATTTTCTAAAACACAGAAAGTAAACAGGATTCTCTTTGGCCAAGAAAGGGATGTGTGTTTTCTCTGTAGCTATTAAATCATAATAACTCTTTTCATTATTAATTGTAGGATTCAACATGATACATGTCTTCCAGAGTATAGTACTGTATTAGGTAATGGAACACATGATTATTTTCATCATTCTTTTGGTGACTAAGTATAAGTAATGTTAAGGAAAGTTATTCAGGCTTCTTTTTAAGTTCGGACTTTTATATAGATAACAAGTCATAATAATGAATGCAAAACTATACTATGGGTTTTTACTATATAAAGAGTTGGATTAAAAGCCGTGTTCCCCAAGTTCCCCTCCTATCTTGTCTTTTGAGATCGAAGATGAAGAAGGTGCTTATTCTCATAAATAAATAGTGATCGTGCTACTCTAATAGTAACAGAACGGCTGCAATATATCTCTTAAGACTCTGTCCACAATGCTCCAGTAAAAAAAACAAAGTTCCAGTAAAACTGAGTAACTGAAGTTTGTACTTTAAAGGATAGAGTAGAAAAGCATAGATATCAAATATATTGCATAATTCCACTTTCTGTGTTCAATTTAAGAGGAAAAACTGACTGGTTTAAATATGACTTTTAGCTTTGTGAAGATGGTGTGGAATAAATGCTTACCTGTGTATTCTGGAAAGTAACTAATTAGATGGGAATACATAATCTTCTCTTCTAGAAGATCTTTTTTATTTAAAAACAAAATGATTGAAGAATTCAGAAACCAGGGATATGTAATGATAGTTTTAAATAAGGCCTTGCTTTCTTCCATTCGATTCTACAACAAAAATTAACATGAAGTTACATTCTCTAGACAGTAGCATATCCAAATCACATCAGCCAGAGATCATAAAGGTTTTTTTGAAAGCTTTTTAAAAAATATTACTTTTATTAAGTGCAATTGCCATGCACTGGTTGTTCATTACTATTCTTGTTCTATATCCTCTTATTTACTGGGTTTTCGATCACCGCTATGAATGTCATGATGGTATGTGAAATCAAGGTAAGCCTTAATAATAGAAATTATTTGAATTCTTGTATGAGTTAGTGAGCAGCCATGGACTGCTGCTCTACAAAAGCTTCTTCTGACCTTACAGTGAGAGCTGAAGCAGGGTGTATCTGTTCAAGTATCTGATATTAACATACTGTAACATAGCTAAAAGACAAGAACATACGTACTGCTGTATACTGGTAATAGTGTCTGTCCCATTTCAGGAGAGATGTAAGGAACACCACATTCAGAGATTGCTGTTTGGAGTTCCTGGGGATAAGCTTGTGATGGCAGTCAGTTTGTTATTTTTTTCCTAACATCCAAAGTAAGCATAATAAAATGTTCAAGATAGTGGAAGGAAAAAGAAAATTACATTTACTGAAGTTGTTCGTGCATTGAGATGCATTGAAAACTGTTAACTACAGTGGATGTTGTGACACTTCAAGTGAAGTAGGGTATGCTTTTCACATTTCAAACAGAACTTGAGAAAGTGATCTGAAAGGTCTTTGGGACTTCAAGGTTCAAATGGTATTAAGTATTTTTGAAGGACATTTGAAGGAGTCCTCATACTGCAGGATGTGAAGCAACCACTACCAAAAGTAATGCAGTTCTACTAATATGCTTTTCCCTAATTGCCTACTATTTTTTTTGCATCTTTCTCTACAACATCTGGCTACTGCGGATTACAGCACTCTAGAACAGATGGGAGAACTCATCTTAGGTTTTCTAACCTTAGGAAGGAGGTAAATTTTAAGTTATTTTGTTTTAATTTTCTTTAATTAATGCACAGGTTAATTCTGAAACCTCAGAGACTTAAAAAAACAAACAGAAAAAAACCCTAATTACAGGTGAGTGAGGTAGTTTTACTTGCTTAGAGATGTTACTGATACTCAAATTCTTAAACATTTGACATGGCTTAAGTGATTCAAAACATTTTAAATCATGTTTTGTCTTTTAAGGTAGAGTTCACTTTTACAGGCAGGCTGCTAATTTAATACAACTTCAGGACTGCTTGATCAGCTTCTTAAGGCAATTCTAGTATTTGCAAATACTTTTATGGACACATATGAATGCCATGTTTCTTAAAAAGAACACATCTTTTTCTGCACTTTATATGCTCCCACTCCTTACCTCATTGTCACATTCTGCCAATACTTGATCATATTCACTTAATGCAACTAAGAAAATGATGGACGTAACACTTTCAAAACAATGGATCCACTTCCTTCTTTCTGACCTTTGGCCACCTACATCCACCATCCTGTTAAACAGAAATACAGTCAATGTATTAGTCATTTTCATAAGATACTTAAAGTAACTCCAAAGGCCTTACGATAGATCGCCTACCTGAGATAAGCTTGAACTGTGAAAAATATATCTTACCACTGTGTGTTCTGTTTAATATTTAAAATTGATTCACTTGCTGTAGTGCTACAACTTTCACTGTTCTTTAGTCTTGTTGTGGGTTAATCCCAGTGGGCAGCGAAGCACAATACAGCTGCTCACTCACTATCCCCCCCCCCCCCCCCCATCGGGGGACAGGGGCAGGGGAAAGAAACAGTAAAAGCAAGAAAACTTGGGGGTTGAGATTAAAAAACAATAATAATTGATTAATAAGTGAAGGATAAGTGGCACAAGAGATAAAGAAAACAAAACAAGTGATGCAAAAGCACTCACTCACCACCTCCCACTCACCACCCGATGCCCAACCAGTTCCTGAGAAAAAGATGGCCAACCTCCATAAAGCCCCCTCTTTTCAATTTATCACTAAGCATGATGTTACATGGCACGAAATATGTCCTTGGTTAATTCAGGTCATCTGCCTGGCTGTGTCCACACTCGCTCCAAAATCTCCCTTGGCCCCCGCAAAAAAACCCAGCTTAGTCATATCTCACTACTCAAAACAATCAAAATGCTCACAAATATCTTAGTTTCACATCAAATTCCTGTGGTTTTGCAGACAGTTAAGTAAGTCCCTCACATTTTATACAGGTCAAAGTGTTCCCTAGAACATTCCATTTTCCAGGAAAAAACAAACAAACAACAAAATCACAGTTAGGCTGGTTTGACCATGTGTTATAAGAATGGATTCTGGTTCTGTGTTGTAACTGCAGGCAGGGGTTTGTTAATGATGAAGTGGGTGGTTTGGTGGAAGAACATCTATGCTACTGTGAATTCTGCAATTTTTAAATAAAAGAAAATACTTTCCCTTAGAAAATCAGTAACCCCACCTGTTGCAATAGCTTGTCTAGTAGCAGATAAGAGAATTTTAAAGTGCTTCTCAGACTTTCTTTCAACTTTGAGTTGTTTGTTTCTCTCAATTCCACTGAACTTTTTTTTTTTTTTTTTATATATTACATGGCAGGAAGAATAGAAGTATCTACAGTTGTGACCCTCCACTTTCTTTTTTTCCTTCTCTCTCCCTTGGTGTCTCCAACTCCCTTCCCTAACTTTATCTAACTGAAAGTTGTAAACTCATTTGAAGGCCTTAGCATATCTATTAGGGCCCTCTCTTTCAAACAGTTACAATCAGGAGGCAGAAACTGTTGGCTCTAAATGGAATTAAACTACATGCCAATATGAGCACTCATGTTACCACAAATACCTTTCCTCTGCACCTCCCCCATCCAAGGCTTTAAATTAAACTAATAGTTCAGAATACATGGTAATTGGGCTGCTTGAATTGAAAAGCTGTTTTTATGTAATGTGAATTTCAAATGGAATGTTTTGAAACGCCACTCAAGTTACTATATGAACTTTGGAGACTGCTGGAAACACGTAAAAACAGTTATTGAATGCAAAAGCTTAAAGGACCTTAGAAGTAAAGTTGCAAGAACTATTTTCATAGTTGTATACTCAATCATTTGATAGGCAGTCTTACCTAAATGTAATATTTTCTAAATCAAAAGGATACTCAATAATTCCTGTAGTTGGCACTCGGACTCTAAGAATATCTTGCTGAGTTGGCACAAATGAGGGAGTAGCAATACGATCAAGGTCAGTAAGATAACTGAAAAGTTAAATATACAACAGAAACAATATAATAAATTAATTACAAAGATTCAAAACCAAAGTATGAGCTAGCCATCACAGAATTATTCCCATAAAAGCAGCTAAACAGAAATTCAGTTGTGCATGGCCTTGGTGCAATTATTGCTGGCATAAAACAATAGACCCCTTTACTTGAACTGAGACCTGGATGTACATTTCCTACAGAATAATACTAATCAAAAGAGATGATGCCTGAATGTTCTATAGACAATTTCCCACACCCAAAATGATGAATTTTAATTGAATATTCTTTGCTATTACCCCAAAATAAACACCAGAATTAAGATTTGAACACAAATATAAATATCAGTCCTAGCCATAATGTTCACCAACAGTACTTTATCCTCTGTCACTTCATCCATGATGCTAATATCAGACACAACTGTGAAAGGTTGATGGACAGAATTAAAAATGTAATTAATGGAAAGCACTGCAAACATGAATGCTTCAAACTTATACATTTTTAATATAAAAGATGTTGCATTTAATTTCTCGCGTGCTCATGCAGTCATTCTTAACTTTACCCTCTTTAGTTTCACAAGACTGTTGCGCTTTTCATGGCTGGGATTAAATTCTAGGATGACATTCCTGTGCCTCAACAAATGAGCAGTGTGTGAGCAAGACACAAGATGCCTGGTATTCCTCTCTGCAATCTATCTTCCCACCACTAGAAGGCAACATTAGATCAGTCAAAATCCTAACAAGGCATACAAAAAGTGTAAGGTGTATTCCGAATCATACAACACGGCTGTAGCACAAACCTTCCTTTATTTAAGCACTAATTCCACACTTTTTCTTTGGTGGAAGAGGGAGGGTGCCGATGTATTCTCCCCTTGCTGCCCAAACATCCCTCACACTTGGGCTCCAAAATAAAAAATTCTCACACCTAATGTTATCACTCACTCAGAAAAGATTTCTCTTAAGAATAAGAAAATTCTCCTCTCCAGCAATGTAGCATAGTGTTATTGAGACTTGCATTGTAATTAACAGTACAAGAAAGATTTAATAAAATTTAAAATAAAACTGTTTTTCAATTGTAGCTGATTTCTTAGAAAATGAGGCTACAGTAGACCATTAAGTGGCATCTTTCTTCTCCAACATAGGATTATTTAAGAACAAGGCAGACAAACATCTGTCAAGAACTGGTAATGTTTAACATACAGGAACAGATTGCCTATGTGTAACCACTCAGGGTTAAAGTTTACCATAAATGCCTAATTTAAATGTTCCTTGCTGAAATTTAACCCTGTTACTTCTCAACTTTGACAGAAATGGAAATGTAAATTTTCTGTTCCCATGAAACAATCATTTTTTCACAATTAAATTCTTTGAAAACTGGGGGAGAGACTTATCTTCATTCTTATTTTTGTTCTAAGCTTTTCATTAACTGAACTGACTGGTGGGCCCGCTTGTTGTCAATATATTTTGTACAGCTGTTTTTCATTATTTCCCCCAAGGGAAACTCAGTTATGTACCAGCTGTGTTGACCTCAGAACTGGGAGGGATGATGGTTCCAGTATGTTCAGAAAGCCTGAAATTAGTTTGTTTCATCACTGCAGCTTAAAATTTGTTGTGTACCACAGGCCAACAGAGACACAGGTATAACTAATAAAATCAGAGTGAACCTATCTCTTCATTATGAGCCAGCAGTGTGCCCAGGTGGCCAAGGAAGCTAGTAGCACCCTGGCTTGTATCAGAAATAGTGTGGCCAGCAAGGGCAGGGAAGTGATTGTTCCCCTGTACTCAGCACTGGTGAGGCCGCACCTCGAGTCCTGTGTTCACTTTTGGGCCCCTCACTACAGGAAAGACATTGAGGTGCTGGAGCGTGCCCAGAGAAGGGCAACGAAGCTGGTGAGGGGCCTGGAGCACAAGTCTTACGAGGAGTGGCTGAGGGAACTGGGGTTCTTTAGTCTGCAGAAAAGGAGGCTGAGGGGAGACCTTATTGATCTCTACAACTGCCTGAAAGGAGGTTGTAGTGAGGTGGGTGTTGGTCTCTTCTCCCAATTAACAAGTGATAGGATGAGAGGAAAAGGCCTCAAGTTGCACCAGGAGAGGTTTAGATCAGCTATTAGGAAAAATTTCTTCACTGAAAGGGTTGTCAAGCATTGGAACCAGCTGCCCAGGGAAGTGGTGGAGTAACCATCCCTGGAGATGTTTAAAAGACATGTAGATGTGGTGCTTAGGGACATGGTTTAGTGGTGGACTTGGCAGAGTTAGCTTAATGGTTGAACTTGATGATCTTATGGTTTTTTTCCAATGATTCTGTAATTAACTTCATTAAGTCTGGCTTGTTCTTGTAATTCTCAGTGTACTTACTACTTAGCAGAGTCTGAGAGCTGGTACTCCCTCCGTCTGTCATAGCATTCTTGGATTCCTGGGTCTTCCCAGAGCTTCTTGATCGCTTCAACTTGTTTTCTTTCCAGCGCAGTCACTTTATCCACTTCCACTTCTTTGATCATCTGAGCACTCTCCTAATCAATTAAATGATTACATATTGTGAGAAAGGATTGCTGTTGGCATGCGGTCTCCCCTTTCTTTATTACACTCTTCCATAAGTGAGACTAAGCATCAGGAACCTAGGAGAAAATAAGCAGGTTTAATCCTTGAATGCATTTAATTTTGCAAGTGAGATGACTGCTACTCAATGTTTTAACCAAGTTAGTCTTGCTGTCATCCAGGTGTGATTTTTCTTTTTAAAAGGGGACCTTGACAAAGGTCAGAAGGAGCTCTAAACCTAGGATTTTTAAGCTCACTAAATTTTAATACCAATTTATAACAGTGGTAATGTTTCTAAAATTCTAGATACTTTCATTAGTACAAATACTTCTGGTTGGTTTGTTGGTTTGGTTTTTTTCAGGACAAACCAGAGGCTGGCCTAGCATGAACAGTCATCAAGTAGGACCAAATTCCTACAAGCCATTTTCTGTTATAATGCCTATCTCAGTGAGATACAGCCAAGGAACTACTCTATGGAAAGAAATAATTTTTCTTTGCTCTCTGCGTTAAAAGGTATTGCAAAGATAAATGTAAGTTTTGCTTTTAAGGCGTATAAAAAAGTCTATTATTCTGCAGCAAGTTGTGCAGTTGATAAACTTGAGGGAAGGAATGCCATTCAGAGCAGCCTTGACAGGCTTGAGATGTGGACCCGTGCAAACAAGCTGGGGGATGAAGGGATTGAGAGCAGCCCTGTGGAGAAGGACTCGGGGATACTGGTGGATGAAAAGATGGACATGAGCCGTCAATGTGCGCTTGCAGCCCAGAAAGCCAACCGTATCCTGGGCTGCATCAAAAGAAGTATGGCCAGCACGTTGAGGGAGGTGATTCTGCCCCTCTACTCTGCTCTGGTGAGATCCCACCCGGAGTACTGTGTCCAGTTCTGGGGTCCTCAGTACAGGAATTACATGGACCTGTTGGAGCAGGTCCAGAGGATGGCCACAAAATGATCACAGGGATGGAACACCTCTTCTATGCAGAAAAGCTGAGAGAGTTGGGGTTGCTCAGCCTGGAGGACAGAAGGGTCCGGGGAGACCTTATTGCAGCCTTTCAATATAGAAAGGGGGCTTATAAGAAAGTTGGAGAGAGACTTTTTACCAGGGTCTGTAGTGACAGGACAAGGGGCAGTGGTTTTAAACCGAAGGAGGGTGGATTCTAGCTTGGACATAAGGGAGAAATTTTTTCATGAGGGTGGTAAGACACTGGAACAGGTTGCCCAGAAAAGCTGTGGATGCCTCATTCCTGGAAGTGTTGAAAGTCAAGTTGGATGGGACTTTGACCAACCTGACCTAGTGAAAGATGTCCCTGCCCATGGTAAGGGAGTTGGACTAGATGAGCTTTAAAGGTCCCTTCCAACCCAAACTATTCTACGATTAGAAGTGTTCTCTTCTGTAACTGTTCAACTGAGTATACACTGATGTTTGCTAATACCTTTAATGGTCTGGAAAAGTATTGTTGTGAAATGCATTTAATATTGAAATAAATCAACTTATTTAGCATTTGGAATGTAACAAATTGGTTGCTGTAAATTCAGTTTGTCAATACCTTTTCTAGTACATTGCTAGATACCATCTAAGTTTTAACTTACATCCTCTTCAAAAATGGAATAAGGTTTCTTCTTGACCTCTTATATAAAAGTCACAAATAGTAATGCTGTATACAGATCTGGTTTGAATCCAGGGCAGTGAATTCTTGGGTCTGAAGTGGAAATTGCAATACTGATAGACCTGTTAATCTAGAGATAAAGATCAGTCAGAAAACAGGGCTTTTGTAGTTATGGGGTCTTTTAAGTTATCATGAGCAATTGCAAAACTATGTAACATAGAGCTTAATGCCTCAAAAGCAATTTCTGCTTGCTCAGTTCAAATTAATTTTAAATATTGTAAGTCTCTAAAATGTGGTGAATATCCTACTCTTCTGAGTTTTCGTATTAAAGATTTACAATGTAGTCATAATGCCTGGGCAAATTCTCCATAATTGGAATGATCTTTGATTTTACAGGTATTCTGTTACACAAAACCAAATGCCAAGTCTTCTAATTTTTATTAAAACTATTTTCTTTTTAAATAGTAGCTGAAAGCTTTCAACATGACTGTTCTGATTACTGCTACACTGTAAATTGGTAACCAATGTATAATAGTTTAAAATGCATCATGGTATAAACATTCCTGTTGGTATTTCTTGTAGATTCCTTAAGATATAATGTAATCCATATTTTTTTCTACCTTAATTTTACACAGCCTAACTATTTTAGCAAGACAAGTAATATTGTCTATTGAATAAATTTTACTGTTCTGTAACTATTGCATCAAATGTTCATGCTGATCTAGAACAATGTAGGAAGAGCTTTACCTGTCATACTGTATTCAGGCACTGTGTATGAGGCAAGAGATTAGAGACCATGTGTCCTGGCAGTAACTTTTCTCCCTATTTTCAATCTTATCTGGTTAAAGACATGCAGAATAATTTGGATTATAAGTAACTCTTAATTCACTAAAGTCACAGAACAGATACCGTTTTCTAAAGAAAAGAATGGGCACTGACATGCAAATAGCCATCACAGCATTTTGACTGGGATTGCCTCAGGCTTCATTCCATGCTAAAACTTTGCATGTATCTAAGAGGACTTCATGTAATTGTAGCTGCAAAACCAGCTTTGGTATCAGGTCCTTGTGAAAACATTTTGTGTCTACATCTGCAAACGCCAGTCCCCTTATGCGGCCAAGTGCCATCAGGAAAAATCCTTTTTCAGAAAGTAATTCAGATTAATCTTTATTCCCATAGTACATAACAACTAGAGTTCAACACTGACAGCTAGTCTCATGCCCGTAATTCAAAGGAAACAAATCCTACAATGAAGTGAAAAATTACTTAAAACACCAAGTGATTTTAGTATCATTCCATGCTGTCCTGGTTTCAGCTGAGACAGAGTTAATTGTCTTCCTAGTAGCTGGTATAATGTTATGGTTTGGGTTCAGTAGGAGAAGAATGTTGATAACACACTGATGTTTTCAGTAGTTGCTAAGTAGTTCTTAAACTAAGTCAAGGATTTTCCAGCTTCTCATGCCCAGACAGGAAGAAGGCTGAAGGGCCACAAGAAGTTGGCTCGGGACACAGCCAGGACAGCTGACCCAAACTGGCCAAAGGGGTATTCCATACCATGTGACGTAATGTCTAGTATAGAAACTGGGGGGACTTGGCAAGGGGGGGTGAATCACTGCTTTGGAACAAACTGGGCATCGGTCGGCGAGTGGTAAGCAATTGCATTGTGCATCGTTTTTTTTGTATGTTCTGATTCTATTATTATTATTATTGTCATTTTATTATCATCATCATTATTATTATTTTCTTCTTTTCTGTCCTACTAAACTGTCTTTATCTCAACCCATGAGTTTTCCCTTTTTTTTCTGATTCTCTCCCCCATCCCACTGGGTGGGGGGGAGTGAGTGAGCATCTGCGTGGTGCTTAGTTGCTGCCTGGGGTTAAACCACAACACATCGTCTTCCTCATCCTCAGTAAACAGGCATGTTACTAATAAAAAATACCTTTGGTATGAATTATGGGTGGATAAGAAGACATGAAAGCAAGATACAGAAAATTTCAGTTTCCTTAAAACGCAGTCTTCAGGATAAATTAGTAATGAGTAATCTTAGGAGTCTGTGGTACAATAACCCAGCCAGGATCTGATGGAAAAGGGGATTAAACTTGAAACACACTAAGATGTCCTTAGAACCAGCAGAAAGTCCTTCAAACTGGGCAGCAGGAGAGTCCTATATTTTTTGTACTGGGAAATACCAGCATTATAACTAAAAGGCAGGTGTTGCAGGGTTTTGTTTGAGTGTGTGTGCATGTGTGCATCTCTGTGACAATTTACTACTAACAGCAAACATTCATGATAAGTAACAACCAGAGCAACGCCACCTATTTCAGCCTCTGACTACTGTAATGATTGAGGTAAATGACTTTTCTACACACTTGTGTTGACATTATAAAACATATCAATGTAAAATAGGATTATAATTGGAAATGGATTGTTTGTTTTACATCTAAGTTTTAAGTAACACTGATTGTCAAACATTGATATTAGCTATAGTGTAGTTGCAGATTTCTGTATTGTAGTCATGGTCAACACACATGCTAATCACAACTGAACTGAAAATCTGTAAGCCATGGCAAAATGAAGTAAGTAAGTAAGTCCCCATAATCTATACACAGCTCTTCCATAACATAATAAGAACCAGCTCTGCTAATCAGGACTTTCTTTTTTATTTTCAATTGTATCTAACCCACTGATGGATTTTTGCTGATTATTGCAAATAAGTGGCCCTTGAATCTGTCACAAACCTTGAAAGCTAAATGACTTTTCTAACCAGCCATAGCACTTTAAGTAGTTTGACAACTGATAAAATGCTCAAATGTCCTTTTTCGTTCTGATTAAACACTATAAAGGGTAACTGGGTGATGTAAGATGCCCCACAAGGCTTTTATTATTTTGCTGTAGAACCCCACCACTAGGAATTATAGAAAAGGGTTATTAAATCTTATCAACACTTAGTAATAATATTGTTTACATTTTAACAAATATCTTTTTGCATTGCCAACTGCATACCACAAAAGTAGTTTAAATATCATGAAACTTTATAATGGGATTTTGGCACAAAGTGGACCTCAGTGTTTGAAGTCCACAGGGTCATATTTTAAAACCTTCCTCTGCAACTCAGAAGAACACTAGAAATTTAGTTTTCATTTCCTTCAAAGCAAGAGTGGAATTTTATAGAATTCTTACTTTCACTACTAAGAAGTTAGCCCAAGAGATGTGTGGAAATATGCACCATTGTAATACATAAGCAGTAGGTGTTTTACAGACAGAACACAAAGGGGTCACTAACATGAGAAGAAAACAAAGCAAAACGAAAGAAATCTACAATCATTACAGACCAGACCAAGGAACAAAGAGGGGAAACACAAAACAGCACAA